TTATTTTGTCAATGTTCGTCGGGGACTGTCATATCGATTTCGAAGGATACAGAAGGCGTTGAGGAAAAACGTCGTGATACGTCGACGTCTTTCCTTATCTGTACCTACTCGGTGGTCCACTCACGGGAAGTATATCACCAGTGTTTACCACAACAAAGACATTCTCGCTGCATCTTTTCAGAAACGGCTTTGCTTAAGAGCTTTGAAGGCGATGCTTTAGATAACGCTCTTGCCGCTTTTCGTGACGATGGGTTGTGGCAGGACACCCAGATCGATTTATCGCTAATTGAGCCCATTAACAAGAGTCTCGCAGCATTTGAGCGCGATAACTGCAGCATGTCACATGTTTACAACCCGTTCGAGTGGCTCCGTACGCGCCGGATATACACGAAACCCTTGCCGGATTGTAGCTTGGAACTTAAGGAAGATGTATTGGCTGTTTTTAAGCGCCAGGAGAAAATTTTCTCGAAGGAAGTGATACTGTCAAATCTCCTCGACCACACCAGAACAATGTTTGATCACGAGAATGCGGACACAAAAGCAATGTTTAACGCTGCCAAGGAATTTGCCCTTGGCATGGAGCTGATTTCGGATGAGTTGGGAGACGAATTTCACTTACGGTTGCAAACTTTTGTCATCGCAAAGTCGGAATGGACTGGGAAAACTCGTGTCGACCATCACTGCTACAGTTCTATTAATTGGTGGGCACTAGAGACGTCTAGAACGTATTGTCGGAAGTAGCAGTATGCGCTGCGTGAGATCGATCACGTAACGACAGCAACTACCTGTCGACAGCAACCAACGCTGAGACTTGTCAGAAACGGACGCACAGACAAGCTAGCTAGGAAATTACGTAGCTAGCGACAACGCTATTCATTCTCAATCTTACATAGTGCGAGGCACTACTACATTACGTTGCGACGCGGTGCACAGCTGAGGATAAAATCTACCCTTCCATTTGGTTATGAGCCCAACTGCCCAGCCAACTGCGACTAGTGATAACACGCGAAGCAA